AATTCATTATATCCAGAAATTATAATAATAAAAATAAATTTAATTTCCAGGATGATCTTCAATGTAAAGAAATCAAAATATACTAGACAGTTCCAAAATAACAATAGAGAGATAAACAATATTTACACATTATTCATATACTTAATAAAAAATTACAGGCTATAAATTTCGTATTAAAAAAGTAAACAAATTCGAAATCAGATTATTGCGGGACAATACCTAAATTCCCTTTTCCATAGTATTTGCCAAGATTAAGAATAAAAAAGTATTTGCTATCCAAAAATAAATACATTATTCCTTTTTTGTCAAAAACCAAACATTGAAACAAAAATATTAGAGAGATACCGCGTTTCTTCTTTGTTGAAGCATCCCAAGCGAAAACTTTTCCATTTTCACTCCATGCCATGTGTTTTCCGAATTTTTCCTTGGTTGCTACGTCATTGTATTTGAGAGGTCATAAGTTTCTAAAAAATAAAATAAATAATCCAGGTGTGTATTTAAAGAAATAAAGTTGATGATGGTCCAAGCAAAACGAAACGCCGTAAATGATTTTTTTGCATCACTAAAGGATAAAGCTAAAAAAGTTGCTTTGAAAATGTGTAAATAGATTTTTTGTCAAAAAAAAATCTCAAAAGAGTAAAACCGGGAATTACAGTTTTCCGCCATATTTCATAAATGACAAAGATAAGTTCAATTATTAAACGAATTAACATTGGGCTGACACCTTTGCCCCAATTTAAGGGACCCTGTATCTCTTAGCGTTTCCGAAATATCAATGGTAAGAGCCGGATTTGAAATCGAATTTGTACTAAATAATTATTTTAGACAGTAAAATAATTTTAGGGATAATTAATATACTTTTAGTTTAAAAAACCATACAAATATTGGAAAAAAGTCGAGGAAACATCTTATATTTGCAATTACAGATTGAGACTGTATTCAGATAATCATTTTGATATTGTGATTTTACCTAATTTATTTAAAATAATACCATTTAAAGCTCGTATAATAAATATAAGTGCTTTTAATAGTGATGGGATAACTCGAGCGAAAATATTTAGTACTCAAAATTACTCAAAATTAATTATTAGTACTCGAATATTTAAATAACCGACATCGTCGATTATGAACGAGCGATGCAAGTGACAAGTTACGAGCGACGAACGCAAGCGATTCTAGAACGAATTAAATTGAAATCCGATTTTAATGTGACATACTCGATAAAAAGCCGAGCGAATTTTCTACATGCATTGCAGGTAGCAAATTTATACGACGTTATCCGTTGCGTATCTGAGTGACAAAATTTTACGACCTACATCGACATGCCTTGAAATAACCTAAATCAAGCGAATCGCTCGTCGCTTGCTACTTGCCATTCATAACTGAAATAATATGTGCTCTGCGCACGTAACTTACTGCTTGGCGTTACGAGTACAACAAGCGACGGGCGAAAAACCGTATTTTTAAATACGAGCGATATTTCGCTCGAGCGATCGCTCGATTATTGAAATTAATCGGTTTTTCCCATCACTAGTTTTTAATCTACATATCAGTTCAGACATAAAACAACTGTCATGGAATAAATGAGATGAGATAAAATAAAATATCATACATAACAAAACTAATTAAATACCTTATTCACTGTGTGTTCTATACTATTCCTTTCTCGTATTAAACAAAGTATGGTATATATTTCCTGTGTTCCATATATCCCTTTGACTTATAAAACGCGTAAATAAAGTAGGCCCCGTTCAGATTAGCCTTAGTAGCAAAAAGTAGACGTTAACTTAAAATACTTTACTTTAAACATTCGTAATGCTAAAAATTCTTAAAAATATTTTATCAAAATAAAATTAAAACACCTATAGAGGTTTGGCAACTGAAATTAATTGAAATATGTCAAGATCTCAGATATAATCTAACTGCGCTACATAATTTCAGCTGTTTCTAACCTAGATCATATTATATACATTCTGTTCAGCAATCGTTCAACGTTACGTCCTCATTATTTGTCAAATATGCGTTTTTTAGGATGTGTCCGAGATCAGTTCATTGTTTAGAAAATTTTAACATTATTCTTGTAGGTATGTTAGGCTTTTATTTATTTTGATAGTCTTTCAATATATAATTTTAGGCGCATAGCAGTTTTTTCCTAGTAATAAAAAAAATAAATAACGTTTTATTGTACAAAAAGCCAAAATAGTTTCATCGACAAAGCATTTACAAAACAAACAAAAGCAGAAAAAATATACTTGCGAAGTGCGGGAAAGAATGAAAGTGACTTGATATTCAAAGGCAGTAAGAAATTCTGGCAGTGAGTTCTACTGTTCAGTCCCAATAAATATCGAACTGCTCTCTTTTAAAGTTTGAAAATACTATCAAATTTTGTCGCGCAGCAAGTACCCCAGAATGGAAGGGCATAACGAAGATGCGACTCAAAAAGGGCATAATAGACTAGAGGTTGATAAGTTAAGTTCTTTAGAAACTGACCTTAGCGCAAAACAGCCAGCGCTTAGTTTCTTTGATAAAGCTTCGATGTGTAAGTCTCATTTTAACGAGTTGTCTACAAGAACTCCTAAGAATTTTATAGAGTCCACGGCGTCAACAGTGGTGTTCTTAAGTACAAAAGGTTGTATAGTACTTTTATGTGACAAAACTTTAGTTTTTGATAGGTTGAGGCATAGGAGATTAGAATCGCACCAAGATTTAATGGTGCGTAAGTCACTGGAGTCACTGGAGACTATACAGTGCCGTAACATCTGGGCCGCTCCATATAAAACCAGTATCGTCCGCAAAGACGCAGATTTTACTGCTAATGCCTAGATTTGCGATGTCGTTGATAAACATCAGAAACAAAATAGGGTCAAGTACTGAACCCTGAGGGACACCACATTCTATAGGCTTACAAGAAGACATAGACGAATCAATCCTCACAAGCTGCCTTCTGTTGCCAAGATATTACTTAAGCCATTCGAGCGGCATAGTATTGCAATTTGTTAATTAAGATATTATGATTTACACTGTCGAAAGCCTTAGGGAAATCACAGCAAATTGTAGCTCTGTAGAGTGATGGTTATTCAGGCTAAAGTATACATTATTAAAAAGGTCGAACATAGCATCATTTGTGCAACTTAGAAATCCAAATTGATGGCTAGTAAGTATTTTATATTTAAGGAGAAAAGATAGAAACCTTTTTTTAACGAATCTTTCAATAGATAATGTGGGTAGGAGTGCAATTGGACGATAGTTCGAAGCTTCTTTATCTCCTCCTTTATGCAGAGGAATAATTATTGCTGTCTTAAGGCAGTTTGGAAAAACTCCTTTTTGGAATGACTCGTTAATTAAAGTAGTAAGATGGATTAATGTGGATTCCGGAAGTTCAGAGATCAGAGAACATTTTGAGAGTAAGCCCATCAGTCCCAGATGAGGATTTGTTTTTAACACTTTAATTGCACTACGGAGCTCATCTAATGCTACGGGCGTGAAGAAGAAACTAGGGAGATAAATGATATGAAAAATCCTTTTCGTTTGTCTTGTACTAAAGTTAATACAGAAACTTATTCAGTCCAAATATTTGTGTACAAAGTATTTTGTATCTTCTCTCTTTAGACCTTAATTTTGCTTCTTAAACAAATGCAATTTTACAAATGCATGTTTGAATTTTTGAGCACTCTGTGTAAAAACATTTTATACACATATTACATTTTTGTCTCAAATTAAATCGATTTTTTTGGTAAGAAGAATTTTTCATCCAGGAATATACTTTTTGTCCTAAAATACATAATATAATAATATAAATAACTATTTCCCTCGTCCATATCTTTATAATAGGTTTATGTATGCCTAATGGCGTTCAAATATTTTATTTTGAACGCCAAAATAACTTCCAGTAAATACAAAACTTTGCGAACGTCAGAACGCTCGTACGCATATGAACTTGGTGGAGCCAGGGAGCTAAATAGAATTAAGCTGAGTTTATATGCATCCGCAATGCGTCGTCCGTCGTTCCGCCATACCAATCATATTTGAGTATGAACTGTCATTTTTTAAATAAACCAATAAATTCCCATAAAATCAACGACGGACGACGCATGACGGATACATATAAACTCACACTTATAAGCGCTAGACGCGAGTTACGTGGATACGTAAATAACAAAAAAAATAACCCAAACATAAAACTAACTTATGGCGTTGATTTATCGACGTAAGTATATATGATCTAGGGTTTCTAATAACAAAAAATTTCATTTGGTGCTGACATTTTTTCGTGCAGTGTATAATAAAATATATAAAAACATGAATATCTATAAACGATATCAATTAAACTTTTAGTTACGCAATCGATGGTGCAATTTTTAAATTCATTGTTGCCAAACATGGACATATTCGGCGCCGGGCTGACTAAGTGGAATTTAAATTTTCTGCTGGGGATCCAGGTGGTAGCTCTGCGAATACGATACAAAATGTCCAAGTTGTCACATTTATTTATTTCCTATTATCATTTATTTTGGATACTTAGAGCTTAAAAATTTTTACTAGCACACCTTACAGTTGATCATTGTTCTTTTTAGAACCTCTTTTAGTGCGATAGCATAATAGCCGTTGTAAAAAACTTTTCGCAAGCTTATTAGAATATTTTAAACGGGAAAGCGGTAGTAATGGCTCTTTATGTCCCTTAAGTGCTGTTAAGGAGATGAAATTTGTTGATGTAAATAATAATTTTTTGCATATTTATAATTAATTTATTTTTGTTTTCTAAAATATTTTGATTAAAAAAAAATAAGTAAAAGTGGGAAACGCTGTGTCGGTCAAGCTTAATCACGCGACTAAACGTTTATTTGGTATAATCTATATACAAATTACTTGGCAAAATATAAATTATCTGTATACTGTTTCAATTTAGTAGTTTAATAGTTAACACTAAGTGGAAAAGTTTCCTTGTTTTTTTTTTCAAACAGCCTAGACTTATTTTGCATTAAAACTTGGTATTGGAGTAGGACGGGTCGTTTTTGGATCGGCCAGGTGGTAGCGCTACGCCCCGCTCAGTTCTAACAGCGACGCCGCCTAGCGAGCAACGCAGCACAGCCACGCCAGTCGTATCGGTGCTCGCTCTCGAACAACAACAGGAAAAGGATCCCGCGGCGATGCAGGGAGGGCGCCGGCCCTCCGCGCAAATTCAACCGCAACGCAGAGGTCCGGCGCCTACAGGAAACCGCCGCCCGTACGGTCGACCACCGAACGTGCAGTTGAATTCTCAGGTAGAAATAACAAAAGTTTACAAAACAGTAGTTGTGATTAAAAATGATACGGATGTACTTGTATGTACAGGGTGTCCCACTAAGAATAGCTCTCGGTTGTATCTCGGAAACTAATAGTCGTAGAGCTTGCGGAAAAACATATTTATAACTAATGAGACCATGAAAAATTCCTGGAAATTATTTTCAAGTTTGTAGGACGACCGCTAGAAGGCGTAACTGCTATGGAAAACAACAAAATGGAATTTTTAAGAAATTTTGCCTAGATATGGTGTACTATAAATAATAGCTTCATAATCTTCAGTAAATTCTGGATATTTTTTGTTAGAACCATTTTCCCCATCTACTAAAATAAAGTGGTGGAAGAGTTTGAAAGTTAAAAGATCGTTTAAAAGAGCGTTTCTTACTCTATATTATACCATATAAACAATAATAATAAGCTTTTGAACGTAGACGCTAGGGGGCGTTGTTTTACAATTTAACAAACATTGCGCGTTTTTTCAAAAAAATTAAATGCTGTAGTATATGTAATTTTAGGTAATAGTAAAGAGTAATAAAAGCTTACAAATCAGTGAAAACCGCATCTTGATATCTTTTTTCAAACCAAAGTTATTAGCAAAATTATAATAAATACGAAAATATAAGCCCTTAATTACCTTATTTTTCTAACACGGTTTCACTATCTCTCTTGATTATGACCATTCTAATAAAAAATAATATAAAAAAGATTATTTTATTCAAAATATCGACAATGAACCAGAAAACCATAATACTAGGTGTATTAATATCTAATAATTAAGATACCAATGACGGTGGACAAGAAACGACACCTCAGTGAATTCATGGTAGACTTTGAAAAAAAGTTTCTTTTAAACGGATAGTTTAAACATCCAAATATTATTATATCAACATTTTGATAGTCTCAGCAGCATTTTTTATGCTTTGATTGCTTTTTTAAAAATGCCTTTCTTCAACAGAGAAAAAACGCTGCTAAGACTATCAAAATGTTGATCTAATAATACTTTGACGTTTATACTATAACGTCAAAAGCATCTTTTTTCCAAAGCCTACCATGACTTCACTGAGGCGTCGTTTCTTATTAATTTTCATTGATTTCTTAATTATTAGATATTAATAGATCTGGTGTTATGGTATTCTGGTATATTGTCGATTTTAGAATAATCTAATCATTTCTATCTTATTTTTTGTAAGAATGTTCATAATCAAGAGGGCTAGTAATACCGTGTTAGAAAAATAAGGTAATTAAGGGCTTATATTTTCGTATTTATTATAATTTTGCTAATAACTTTGGTTTGAAAAAAGATTTCAAGATGCGGTTTTCGCTGATTTGTTAAGCTCTTATTACTCTTTACTATTAGCTAAAATTACATATACTACCGCATTTAATTTTTTTGAAAAAACGCGCAATGTTCGTTAAATTGTAAAACAACGCCCCCTAGCGTCTACGTTCAAAAGCTTATTATTATTGTTTATACGGTACAATATAGAGTAAGAAACGCTCTTTTAAACGAGCCCTCGCTTGTGGGATTCCGACCATCCAGTCCGGAGTTATTAATATTTAAATACAAACAGATCTAACCTCCCCCCTCCATTTTATTTTGGTAGATAGTGGAAAATGGCTCTAACAAAAAATATTCAAAATTTACTGAAGATTATGAAGCTATTACTTATACTACACCGTATCTAGGCAAAATTGTGTAAAACTCTATTTTTTATTTTTTTGTTGCAGGTACGCCCCCTAGCGGTTGTTCTACAAACTTGAAAATAATTTCCAGCAGTTTCTCATAGTCTCTTTAATTATAAATATTTTTTTCCGCAGGCTCTACGGCTAATACTTTCCGAGATACAGCCGAGAGCTATTCTTAGTGGGACACCCGGTATAGTCCATCCAGCGACAAAATCCTTTCACAGTGATAGATGATTCTGTCATTTTAATTTCAAAATAGTTTACTTTACAAAGAAATAAGTTCGTGCATTTGGAACGCATAGCAGGAAATTAATATATTTAAAATTTTAGTGACAAACTTAGATTGCTTCAAAATATTATGAAAAAAACTGTATAGAGCTAAAAAAATCTATAAAAAAGAACTATTTCTTACTTTCAATCTTCAAGAATGTCTTCTTTCAATGTTCAAGGTATTTTTATTAAATTTATCAATTTAACTTTTATGTACAAATAAAAAAAGTTTTAATTTTGCACAGGAATTAATAAAACACAACATTTACTGAATTTTATACCTTAAAAGTTATTTTTTTTAAACATTACCTTTTGACTATCTCGTTACAATACTAAAATCTGCTATTATTTATCTATCGTGTGTATACCATATATATGTGATGGTATACAAACCTTATTGGTGGCTACTACAGCTCCCAGGACACGGAATATAAACTGTACTCTGGATCTACGCTTAGTTTTCCCTCGATTTTTCCTCCACTTATCTCTAATAACATAAAACACACGTAATAACATGAATCAAAATGCAAAAGCAATTCAAAAGCAAAAAAAAATTATAACCTATAATTTGGCAAGAGTTTGACAAGTCTCAAAAATCTGCTGTGACGTAGATTGATCTTTCTTTTCATTCCATCATTATACTACATTTCTTCGACTACTACATACTACATTTGTTCGACAGCATATTCTACAGATAAAAGTAAGTAGAAAAGTTCGTATAAATGTATGCCCTAAAATGCTTAGTTTCGGAGATACAGGGTGTAGAAATTTCATTTTTATTTCGATTTTTTCCAAATAATTTCTGAAGTAACGTCAGTATTTAATAGAAAATTGGTGTCTGGGAGTTTTTTGACATGAGAAATTTGATTTTGATGCCAATATTACTCTTATTTGTAGGGGACGCCACCTACATATGTTTTAACTGTTTTAACTTTTCGTCCGTACCTGTATAAAACTACTGAGTGTAATACATTTCCGTGACTTCTTACTTAAAAAATGTGTCTTGGTAAAAATCGCTACGAGCAACCGTTCTCAAGATATTTAGAATGGAAATAGTCAGTACAATACATGTCAATACTCATAAAAAATAAACACGTTGAGTAGATAGTTATTTGACTGAAATAATAAATTTAAGAAATTTTTAAATTTTTAAATTAATCATAAATTTTTCTGCGAAAAAATTATGACAAAACAGTTTGAACTTTTGGCACAAATGCATTTCAAATTTATGATGTCGGTCTAATAACTATTTAGTTAACATGTTTAATTTGTGTCAAAGTGTGTGTTACTTCGTGACGTGCGGACGTGATAAACAATACGGAACGCTACGGGAAAAAAAACAAACGAAACGAAAAACAAACAAGAATTTCATTTCATCGGAATATAAATAACAGTGACAAAAAAAATAATGTAAACAGCAAAAACATGAATAAGGGTACTCCTGCTTTCAATGTGCCAGACGGAGAACAACATAATTCAAATTCCATCATACAGGGTGTCCCAACACCATTATCTTCGCAACAAGAAAATGAAAATTATACTCAACCAACATTATATATAGATTGTCTTCTACCAGTGACGAGAACTTCCATGGATTTGACAACGAAGCAAATCAAAATGAAAATCCCTGGCAAGTGATACAAGGGAAAACCCACGAAGAGGAGAAAAATCAGCAGAAATATTACAAACACAAACACAACAACATTAAACAATAAATTTAGTGCATTAAGCGCAAGGATACTATATAGAGATAAGGATAGTTCGATTCCTATCTCCTGCACTGTCAGTTTTTTTACGTCATCTACTGACCGAGTTGAAGTTGGCGCTAAAGATTTTAGACAGTGACAGTTATTTTTGCATTTGACGGACGAGCGCACAGTGCGTTGGAAGATAAATTTAGCGGGACAAAAGCGTTTGGTTAGAAATAAGCCAAAAAATGTGTACTGATAAGAATAAATAGTAGACATTCCAATTGATACAAAAACGCATGAATATTCTTTGTATTTCGATACATTTTTATCTACCAAATTTGGTCGTTTTCTGCTCAGCAAGGCAGAGATCATACGAAAACAAAATATTTACAAGTGCTTATACATTTTATTAGAAAGCCAAATTATGTTGAAGATTGCCAAAGGTATGTACTTTTCTACTGTACGTATATTATTTGTTAAAATTCTTCGTGCCTTTGTTTTGCGGATATCAAACTTTCACTTTTTTTTTCAAATATCGATATATTGAATGATGTAGATCTTTTGAGTTACCAATAGTTACCAACACAGGTAGTCACAGTCACAGGGAGTTCAAGCTTAACAGGTGAATGCCCAAAAAGATTCATTTCAATCGGATAATATAAAAACAAAACAACTCCATCAAAAGGCACTGAGTTTAAAAAATTGTCTTAGATACTTACTATATATTAATTTACAATTACCGAGTGTTAAAATTAAAATTAAAATAAATTATAGAGGGTGTAACAAGATTACAAATTAATTAAAAAAAAAACTGCTAAAGAGTTTTTTGATATCATAATTTTATGTATTTGGCAATAGTTTACGATACGGTTTTTGTGTGTCATGTACGAATAATGTCATAGTTTTATTATCTTGTATTTATTTATTAATAAATTAAGTTGTTAATAAATAAATAAATTTAACCACATAGTTGCTATATATTAGACCATTTGCTACGTTCTTAGATTTTAAGTCCCAAACATTGCTCTTGAGATTTTGTCCCGCTAGAATAACCATCCGCCGCACTGTGGAGCGCTGGTCAGCGCGTGACGTAGCATTCCACGGCGACTACGACAGCGGCGATTTGACGCGATCGAACAGTCCTTTAGAATATATACAGTCCTTGCATTAAGCGTACCAACTGAATGAACCAGCAACGAAATATCCACAGATACTCCTAAGAAAATACCAAAACCACCTCCAATATTTTTCTATGGCGTAATAGACTATAAAGCCATAAGTACACCAACTAGGAAATACCATTGAGGCAGACAAATATACAACTAAATGCTTAG